GTGCGAATAACTTTTTAAATTCATATATATCTATTGCTTCGTTTGGATTGGGTTATTTTTCAAAAACTAGTTTTTCAAATACAATATTACACTCAAAAAACATCTCATTCATATAATATATAAAAATAACTCACAAATATACACAAAAAAATTTTAAAAAATAAATTTTACAATATTTTCCACCTATCACCACTACTGCCACCAACCTCAACCCCTACCACCACCACCCCTCCCTCTCCTCCGTCTCCTCCCTTCCCTTTCCTTCCCACCCGTCAACCCTCTATTTCCTTTCGCCCCGCAATCTTGTCGCGGCTAGATTGAGAGGGGGTGCGGGAGAGTCGGGGGATGGGGTGGAAAGGAGGAAGAGGAAAGGGGAAGAGGGAGAGGAGCAAATAGGAGGGAAGGGGTGGTGGCGGTGGTAGGTAGGAGTGGTGGTTGTGAGTAGTAGGATTAATTTTTAAAAAATATTCTAAAAATATTTTAATTTTAAAAGATATTTCAAAATATATTCCAAAAATTCCTCAAAAAACAACACAAAAAAAAACTACAATAAAAGTTTTTCATATACACTGCTACAGTATTTTATTTAAAAAACAACTAATTCAAATTAATCCTATATTAATTTCACCTGAATAATACGAATAACATGTAATATATTTTTGTTTGACTTCACCTATAACTGTAATTAGTTTATTTAGATAAAATCAAGTAGAGATATATAACATGCTATTGTACTGTTCATGTGAAATCAAATAAACATATATATGAATTTTTAAAAATAAAAAAATATTCGCATACATAATCAATGAAAGATGAAAATTTTTATTTTGTGAAATGTGAGAAATAAAAAATTCATTTTATGAAATACGAGGGACGAAAAAATTCATTTTGTGAAATTCAAAAAATTATAGATTAGATTATATAAAATATAATTTGATAATTTTAACCCTAAAAAATGATTATGTACAAGACGCATGATGAATTTTGAAAAAAAAAAGTTAAAAATCTAAATAGGAACCAAATTTGACAAATATAAATTTGTAAGTGACGTAAAATTATATCTTAAAAAATGAGGGACGAAAAAAGTTATTTTAACAATTTTTCCTTTGTTATATCCAAAACATATAACCTCAAAATCACAAAACACTCCAATTTTCTTCTGCTCCGTATTCCGGCAGAGACCGAACTTCTCCCATCCCAACCACGTCTACCTCCTATCTCCACCATTGAGTTTAATCATCACCACCATTGCTGTCAACTATCCACTCGAAATCATCACTTCTCCATTCTGCTAACCAATTACTGGATTTACTTCTCAAATCGTTTTGTTCCTTTAGAAGTGGTGGGTCGAATCTCCACCAAACTCACCAGCCATTTTCCTGGTTCTCAACCTGGGTTTCAAACAAATCTAAGTAAAAGAGAAAGAAAAATGAGGTTTGGAGATCAAACAGAAGGATGGGATGGAGATTGTGGGAGGAAAGTCGAAAGAACCCTAATTTGGAAATTTGTTGCGAGTGAATTTTATTTCGGCTGCAAACTTTTTTTTTAACTAAAAAAAAAAAATCGCACGAAGAAGAAAAAGAAGAAGAATTCAGGTAGCAGAGAGACGCCCACCAAGCGAATGTGTTTCTGAATTGGTTCTGACGACATGGCAAATTGTGCACCAACTCCACCCACTTCTGGTCTTCCTTTTCTTTTTCTTATTTCCAAGTCCCAAGCGGTCGTCTTTGAATTTTTCTATTGCCACCAAATACACAGTACTGAGTTTGTTTAGATAGAATATTATTTGAAATAATTATTGTATTATTTGTTGTGATATGATGTATATAAGATAAAAAGATTGTTAAAAATATAAAAATGTGGATTAAGAAATATGTTTATGACATAAGTCAAATATTTTTTGACAAAGTAGAGGTATTGTACATGTAAAAAAGTACACTAACTAACAGTGGATGCGAAAGCAAATTATTTGGACAAATAATTATTATCCAAAAAATAATATGTAAGTAAAACATAGGACTGATATAACATGAGATATTAATAATATGAGCATAGTATCTCATATTATATCCGCCCCATGTTTTACTAATTATGCATAAGACAAGCATTAAGAGTGTAGGATAGAAAAATGGAAAAATAAGTGTTTGGATACCAAAATTATCCCAAATAATATTTCGCTTGCATCACAAACACATTTCCCAACCTACCTTTTTATATTTTCAACTACTTTTTATCTCACATACATCACATCATAAAAAGTGCTACAATAATTATTTCAAATAATATTTTAAATAATATACTATCCAAACAAACCTGTACGGGCAGGTTTTCCAGCTTTTTTTTTTGTTAGAGAACTTGATCATTTTACCCTTCATATAATAAAGTAAAGGTACGAATATCAAAACACAGAATGACATAACACTGAGAAACCTCACACTTTTATATGTAGTATGCATTTTGAAACAAAATAGTGCCTCGGTTTGATTGATCACTATAGCAAACAATTTAGTACCTTATTCACTATAATTATGGCGGCCCGTTCACATTCACGTGCCGAATTAGTCAAGGTAAAAAACAAATAGGTTTTTTTACAGGTTATGAAATTACTACTATCTCTCCATTCACAGGCTAATTCCGTAGATTATATAGATGGAAAAAAAAATTCGGTGAATTGTTACTTTGACAAAGTTGTGTTTCTACACTGTACCTATCGTGCTGACATGCAGAGCAACAAATTTTTTTTTTTCAAAAAAGGCAAAGGTTGCTGTGCTGAACAACTAAGTTTTTTTTTTTTAAAAAAAGGCCAAGGCTACCGCGCTTGGTCAACACGGCAGCTAATAATTAAAGCCACCAAGGGCCGCCGTTATTAGTTTTTTTAAAAATGGCAAATGCTACTGTGCTTAGTCATCACGTCAGCGGGCTACTGTGCTTACTAAGCACAATATTTATTCTTTTTTTTTTTTAACATATGTCTTCAAAATCAATACTTCAACTAGTTTTCGCCCTATCCTCTGCATATCCGTCATGGTGTTATATTAATATAAGTTCCATCAAAACTACTTCTTACTTCTTTTTGAATTACTATTGTGAATCGGATTTTGTCTTATTTAAAAATACTTGCTGATGTGCTATGAAAATTGTGATGCACTCAGAGAAGGAAATGATTATGAGTAGGTCATGAAGAAGTTTACCAATAAACTTCTACATACAGTTTGAAGACAATTTTGTGTATATTGTCTTGTCGTAGTTTGTTAATCAACTCTAAGATTTGTCTGTTTTAACTATTGAATTAAATCATATTAGTTCCAACTCTGATTTTGCTATTTCATCAAAATACATTAAAAAAAGCTGACATTCTTTCATCACATCTTCATTAAAGTTGAGAACATTTTTTGCTTTCTATATTATGTATGTACATTTTGAGATGATTTTTTGGCTTTGTCATTATTTAGTTTCATTAATAACACCTAAGATGTTATTTGATTCCACCAACTAGAGAAATTATGCAATTAATTACTCCACTATATCATTAATCTCATACAAGAAGATTGTTTGAGATAAAGGTGTATATTCTCACCAATCACCAATATACATATATGACATGCCTATTCGCCAAAAGGACAAGTAAAGCTCTATGGAGTGGGGCGTGGATAGCCCAAATATGATCAACACATAAAAGCGTGATACAAATTGGAAACTAACTTTTAAGAACAATTGATTAAACTAGAAAAAAAAAAAGAACAATTACCATTGGTGGCTAATTATTGGCTACCGTGCTGACTAAGCACAGCAGCCTTTGCCTTAAAAAAAAAAATTTGGTTTCCCTGCTGTACTTCGTCAGCACGGTAGGTATAGTATGAAAACACAACTTTATCACAACAACAATTCACCGACTTTTTTTTTTTCTAGTTATAATCTAAGGAATTAGCCCTATTTACAAGACTCGAAATTAAGACCATTATCCCTATCTGTTTTCTCTGATGGCACAGTATATATTGGGCCACAAATTTGACAAAACACGCCTAGACATGTGATTTTTTGGTTCACACACATCAAGCCCCCTTTCTTTGTGAATTTGTGGCCTCATCCTCTTGTCATAAAGAGAGAGGCCCATCAACAAATTCTGGACCATTTTGCGACCTGTGTCCCTATTCTGAATTTAAGGCCCCTTTTGTGAACGGGCTACAGTGTGTTGAACCCAGGCCTCCCAATGCCTTGTTTGTCGTCGGTGGCTGTAGATGGCTGTAGACTTTTTTAAGGAGTCGAATATTTGGTATTCCATCTTTATTCGTATATTATATGAATAAAGTTAGAGTTCAACTATTAAATGAACTATAAATGTTACTTAAATTTAACTTGTTAATTTGTATAAATATTCAATTTTGAATTCAAGTTCAACTCATTAAAATAAATGATCTTTTGGAAATAATTTAATTATATTTTTTAAAAAATAATATTTTCCAATTCTCTCTCTCATTCTATGGATGAGATATTTATTGAACTAATTTCAATATCTATTGATAATTTTTCAAAATGAACAACAAACAACTATATATATGTTGATATCTTTTAACTTACATAACAAGCCATATATATGCTTCTTATCCTCTAGCAAGCCATATATTTCTTTCCGTTTTTCTTTTATTACAACACTTAATCCTTTATTCTTTGAATTCTTAAGACTATACTACACATAGAAAAAATATTATTGAGTCAAGTGCTAATATTATATTATTAAACATATTTATATTTGTATTTATTTGTTCTTATAATTATATGCGTGTTTGCGAACTGTTCGAATAGTTCGCAAACAGTTCATGTTCGACTCGATTATAAAACAAGTATAACATTGTGTTCGAATTCGATTTATTTATTGAATGATTCAATTTTTTTCAAACTCAAACATGTTCTCAAATAGTTGAATTCATTAAAAGCTCTAGATGCCTATATCTATTTAGTTTTGGGAATATTAATTAAGGAGTTGTTCTCCTTCAAGCTTCATATTGTTTTCGTACAGCTCATCTATCTTTCTATTATTTAGTTAATAATATTAACTTATAAAAGTCAGTAGAGTATTTTATTTCGTAAGAGTTGGGGTCAGGAATTTTGGTCCTTTTGCAGTATTCCCATCCCTCGTCGTGTGATAGCATGACGCTACAAGCTCCGTAAGTGTAAGTCGTGAAGAGGTGAAATCTTTAGTCCCACGGAGCCCCGTGTTGCAGAGACCCGTGTTGCAGTTGGACACTTCCACCTTTCCTCTCGGCCACCCCAACGAAACGACCACGCGGCGGCTTAGGAGGGGAGAAACCCTATAATAGCACCATTATTTTAGGAGAGCATTTCGACTGAGACCAGAAAATAGCAGAGATCCTTTACTCGCCTGAAATGTTTTTCCTTTCAAGTAAATGCATATAATTGGTTTTTACTATTTCATTAGAGGATTATTTGTGTAACATTATCACCAGATGGAGGAAAAGGTTCTTGATTACGTGTTAGTGCCAGTTGGGCTCGGGGGCATGCTGGTATATCACGTTTGGCTTTTCCATCAGATCGTGAAGCTCCCAACTAGCACCGTCATCGGCATCAATGCCATCAATCGCCGCTTCTGGGTTCAGGCGATGATGAAGGTTCGTCCCCCTGCCCGGCCTTTTTTTTTTTTTTTCTGTTTCTTTTCAAACTGTTAATCATTCTATTCGTATATTCAAATCCAATTCGGGCATGCAAAAAGTTATTTCAAACACCAAATCTCTGATCGATTAGATATCTCGTCGCACGAAATATTACGCTCATCATCACCTGTTACCTTTTTGCAATTTATTTATTTTTTTTGGTTTCCTTTTTGTTGTAATTATTATACTAACAAGAGACATGGAAATGTAACAGTAGAAGTATGACGGAGCGAGTGAAATACGGTATATAGTAGACTATTAGTTAAGTGGGGAGTAATAAGAACGGAAAATGCAGTTGCAGGCATGAAATTGTACGAATGGGATTGATTCATTAATTGGTTGCAGGACGCGTCGAAAAATGGGGTTCTGGCGGTGCAAACATTGAGAAACAACATAATGGCATCAACCCTGTTGGCATCGACGGCCATCATGCTCAGTTCTGTCATTGCAGTATTGATGACTGGCATGAGCAGGCAATGGGGAGGTGAGCATGATCATGAGCCTGATTCTTCTTCTTCTTCATCATCTTCTTCTTCTTCTTCTCCAACAGGGATTTGGTTTCTCGATGTGGTGGGAGACAAGAGCCAGCTGGCGTTCTCCATCAAGTATTTTAGCATACTGGTATGCTTCTTGGTCGCATTCTTGTTTAACGTTCAGTCCATAAGGTATTACAGCCACGCTAGCATCCTCATCAACGTCCCCACCGACCACCATCCCCGCCAACCGCATCACTACTGCGTCACTCCTGACTACGTCGCCGCCACTGTGAATAGGGGAAGCTATTTCTGGTCGCTTGGTTTGCGGGCCTTTTACTTCTCTTTCCCACTTTTTTTTTGGATCTTTGGACCCATTCCTATGTTCTTGTGCTGCGTTCTTCTCGTTTTCTTGCTCTATTTTCTGGACCTTACCCTGGATCTTGGCTGGGTTGGCGGTACGTGTACCCAACATGAAATGGAAAATCCACCCTTCAGGGACGAGAACGACCGAAGCAATTAATTCCACTCTTTTTAGATTCCTTGTTTCGACGCAGTTTCCATTCAATCTAAGTTGAATCAAACTGCTCCTCCATTACCTCCCCCCCACAACCAACCAAAAAAAAAAATGATGGTTTGTCGTTGTAGATTTTTACCACTCCTTGTTGTAATTCATGCTCTATTTTCGACTTAAATCTCTTCTTCTGTGGAGTTCAATCATTCCCAATAATATGCTCTACTTTTAATAGTGATTTTTATTGATTCATTTGGTTTTGTAGCTCAGCTAAAACTGTCTTGAGGTTTGAGTTTTTTTTTTTGGGTGGTTTGAGGAATTATACTTGCCTAAATTCTATTGAACACGATTAAGTTTCTTTTTAGTTTTTTATTTTTTTTAATGAGAGAAAAAGACCGAGTTACCTTTAAATTTAGAAATTTTAAAGGTATAATTCGATGTTTAATATACTACCAACTTAACACTGTTTACTTTTTTTTTTGGGGCCTTAGTTTAGATGCATCGCCTGGGTATGATATTCGATGTGCTTTGTGTACGTGTTTTTGGATTCTAATAATGTGGCACTAATATTAACCCTGGAAACTATGCCTCAAAAAAAAAAAAAAAAAAAAAAATTGGTGATGGGGAAAATTCTTCACGGTGTGAAAGAAGCAAATGCAGGAGAGCAGATTTGAACCCACCAAAAGCAGGCAGACGACTACAGGAACAATTCCGCCTACTCGGACTGGATTCAGTCGTTCCCAGAAGCAGCCCCCTGCCCTGGTTGTGTTTTTCCAATCCTAAAAGCCATACCTCACACAAATTTTGCTAACCATTGCTTTGGAATCCAAAGCATGCAGACAAATTTTGCCCCTCGGATTGCATCCACCAGCCTCAACTTCAGCCTCATATTGCCAGCTCGAGTCACCGCTTATTTCCTGGATGCCATTACTTGATTTGTTTGTTGAGGGAATGAATTACCAGTGCATATGTCATTCATTCTCCAGAGTTTGGGATGTCGGCTCTCTATTCTGCTATACATGAAAAATTTACTTGCCCAAATATAGTCAGCATAAATGTCAATCCTGCGACTCCTAAAATTAGAATGCCTTGACCACAAAGAACACCGCTGAATGGAGAACTGGCGGAATACTACGGCCTGTTTTATCAGAAAAAATACTACTGGTGCATCTGAATACTTCAAAACACAAGTATTTATGTACATTACTAGTCCACCAGTTGAGTTAATTCTGAAATTTGTTTGAATTTGGTAAGAGATAAAAATGAGTCAAATCGAGGAGAGAGAGAGGTTGGATAACACTTGAAAAACATTTTTTTTTTTAAAAAAAAAAAAAAAGTCAAATCGGGATACGACAAAATGTGAATATTTGTGGCCAACTCATGGAAATAGTAGTACTGAGGAAGCATTAAGAATTTCTATGCAGTATGCACCTATGGTCTTGCGTAAGGAACGGGAAAAATAAAAAATGTGTCAGTTCCAAGATTCCAACTAATCCGGGGAACGAAAAACCTCAAAGGAACGCTTTTGGGTCGGCAAATGGCGAGAAACCAATGCCCCTCCCTCGCCTCATGCCTTGCCGGCAGGCTCAGACTACGATATACTGTACTAATATAATAAGAAATTGGGGGGGGGGGGGGGGTGGGATACAAAGATTAGCAAATATCCGTTTTCTTTTTTCTCTTTTTATTACACGTCACATAAGAATGGCAATTTATTAGGATTAGCCGGCAGTGGCCAGCCGGCATCTCCTTGCTATTATATTGTGCTGTCATTGGCAGTAGGACAAAGGAGATGGAACGCCATTTGGGCAATCACCACTACACTCTCACCATGAGGAGACATACATATACGCGTCACCGGAATCAAAACGACGAAGGAAAGGAAGAAAAGGTTCAGCTTAACCTCAGAGCTGTTAAACGAATGAGCCGCTGGTGAGCTCAGCACGGCTCGGATTATGTAAGCTTGAATTCAATCCGTTTGTTTAATTGAATGAATCAAGATCAGGATTGAATTCGAACACAATTTTTGACTTTTTACATAAATGGGTTAGGTTAGATAATTTAATGAATCGAATTTGAATGTCAAAAGATCGGCTTGTTTACAACTCTAATTTATATTGTCACTTTTTTTTTCCCTTTTGAGAAAGGATTTTGGAAATATCATTTTCAATCACCTCATGTCTACAATACATTATTAAATTAGTATATCCTCGTTAAGACAATTCCGAAAATTTGCAACCCAAACGGAGGTCCCACCTTGCTCCCTCACATGGAGGGTATAATTGGATGATTACGTGGTTCTTAAGTAGGTAAACCTAAGTAGGGAAAGGAAAAAGGGGAATTATCTTTCCTAAGATATTTTCTTTAAAGTTTTGTTTGGATAAAGTCATGAAGATGAAGGGATCATAAAAGATTTTTTTTTTTTTTGACGTTGATACCCACCGTTGCGATAAAAAGAAAAGAGCGGCCAAACTTGACGTTTCTCTAGCTATCACTGTCTGGCTGTCCCCGTCGAGTTGAGTGAGGGCTTTGAAAAATGAATACGTCTTGCTCAGCAACTGCAAGTAACCCACAACGCCGGCCTTAAAAACGACTCTACGACACGAACAAAACGACAATTATGCATCTTTTCTGTTCTGCTCTAAAGCTTAGTGACAAATTCACCACCTAAATAAAATGTCTTCCTTCGTGTTGATGGATTCATTAAGGAAAAGAACATTCAGCAATTCATGACCATTACGATTTCAAATCAACAATTCATTCCAAAAAAAAAATTCGACTCCTACAAATAGGTATTCCTTAATAAGTACAAAATAAGAAGTAATTTGGAGCAGATTAAGCAATGGCAATAATCAACTTTAGAGCAGAGGTATCACTTTCATACTGAGATATTTTCCCAATAGGTAGAATTTTATTTAAGACAAAAAATTGTAGAGTACATATAACATATGGTCTGAATTGAATATTTGTTGAACTCACTCACTTGATTGCAGATGGTTTGTGTTTGAATTGGGAGGTGTATCTAGTCCGGACTTCGATGCTCCGTATAATATAATAATACACGTATTTGCAAAATCCAAACTTCCACTTAAATAAAATTCGTGCCCTCCTCGCTTCGCTTCTTCTTCGAACTGCTAATTCCTATCCACACCGCACTAATACTCTCTTCCAACTCCCCTACACCACCACCCCCCCCCCCCCCGGGAGGGCGGCCCTTCTCTTCCTTTTGATTTCTGAATCCCTTTCATATATATATACACACATATACATGTATGGTCGAATCATTTCCAAGGCTCTCATTTCTTACTCATCCCTCTTCGCTGCGTAATTGAGTATATCATCATCGCATTAACTGACTCATGGATGAAGAAGAGAATGGAAAAGTCGCAGCAGCAGCATCAGCGACGACAGGCGGAGGAGGAGGAGGAGCACCAGAAATCCCCAAAAAGTCCTTGTTCAGGTACAATTCCCCCTTGGTTCAGGTGGGATTGATCGGAGTGGTGTGTTTTTGCTGTCCTGGGATGTTTAATGCCCTCTCCGGCATGGGCGGCGGAGGTCAGGTGGATCCCGCCGCTTCCAACAACGCTCTCACCGCCCTCTACACCACCTTCGCCGTCTTCGGCATCATGGGCGGCGGAATCTATAACATCTTGGGACCCCACATGACCCTCTTCGCCGGCTGTTCCACTTACGTCTTGTACGCCGGCTCCTTCCTCTACTACAATCACTACCAGCATCAGGCCTTTGTCGTCGTCGCCGGCGGCCACCTCGGTATAGGAGCCGGCCTCCTCTGGGCTGCCCAGGGTGCCATCATGACCTCCTATCCCCCCCACGGTCGCAAGGGCACTTATATCTCCATGTTCTGGAGCATCTTCAACATGGGCGGGGTGATCGGTGGCCTCATTCCCTTCGTCCTCAACTTTCACCGGACCAAGGCCGCTTCCGTCAACGACGCCACCTACATTGGGTTCATGGTCTTCATGTCTGTCGGGATGATTATTTCTCTGGGGATCTTGCATCCCAGTCGCGTAATACGCGACGACGGTTCCTCCTGCACCAACATTAAGTACTCCAGCGTCTCCACTGAGGTTGTTGAGATTCTGAAATTGTTCCTCAACTGGAAAATGCTGCTCATGGTGCCAGCCTCCTGGGCCAGTAACTTCTTCTACAGTTACCAGTTTAATAACGTGAACGGGGTTCTGTTTAATTTGAGGACTAGAGGGCTGAACAATGTTTTCTATTGGGGGGCCCAGATGATCGGATCGGTGTTCGTGGGGTACCTGATGGATTTCAGTTTCAAAAGCAGGAGAGCGAGGGGGCTGCTGGGTATTAGCGTGGTCGCTTTGCTTGGGACGGCTATTTGGGGAGGCGGACTTGCGAAGCAGCTGGGTTACTCCCGGCATCACGAACCCGAGGTCAAGCTGGATTTTAAGGATTCAGAGTTTGCAGGACCCTTTGTGTTGTATTTTAGCTATGGTTTGCTTGATGCCATGTTCCAGAGCATGGTGTATTGGGTCATTGGAGCCCTGGCGGATGATTCTGAGGTCCTCAGCAGGTAAACATTCTAAGAGTCTCGCGTGTACTGTACAGGATATAGAAAAGTAGCAGTCATACTAGTGTAACATAGCAGTAGTCTAGATACCAAAAAAGAGTGGTGGATGAATTGGTGGGAATATTGGTTTCAGGTATGCTGGTTTCTACAAAGGAGTGCAGAGTGCGGGTGCAGCAGTTTCTTGGCAAGTGGATGCACACAATGCTCCATTCTTGAGCCAACTAATTGTCAATTGGACACTCTGCACCATCAGCTACCCACTTTTAGCTGTTCTGGTTATAATGGCGGTCAAGGATGAAGACGGTGAAGATGGAGGAGGAGAGGGCAAGGGTAAATCGGTCATGCCTGCTCTTCATTGATTAAGAGACAGCTACTGCTGACTGGTATACTCTCTTCTTCTTTCTTCTTCTTCTTCAATACTTGATTTCGTTTATTGCAGACGCCACCATGTAGTCTGAGATTTAAGTTATAGTGTGTAACTTTTTTTTAATTTAAGTGTGAACAAAATGTCCAGCGTTTTGCTGCGATCAAAATTGTAGTAATTGTGTATGAAGAAACCATCTTTTTTCCATACGAGTTCTTCAGTTGGCAAATTTTGATTCCTACACTTTTGACATGATGAATTTTGA